ACACTGTACCCCCAAAGTGCATCAATGTACACAGTTACCATTCAATAAAAAAAAAAAAAAAAAGAATTCCTGAATACTGAAACTCTGAATGCTGTTGCATTGTATTAATACCTTGGTTTGCGATAAACTGACATCATTATAGTATTCAGCCTTTCCTCCACTCTTTTTCTAAACCAGGTTTAAATAAGTTCTAATGTCAATGATGATTTCTTTGTGACCCATAAAATAGGAGAAGTGATGACTAAATTTCAAAATGCATTGAGAAGTTGGCACCTTTTTATTTATTTCAAATGTCAAACCACGACAAGAGAACAATGTCTATGTAAAGTATGTGTTATTGGTTGAGATTTATTTGTTGGCCCAACAGTCTATTTTAATGTTCATGTGGGCTTGAAAAGAATGTGCAGCCTGGTACTGTGGTGCTTATACCATCAGGGAACCCCACCTCATCTCTGCTACCTTAGCTGTGGTCCCAGATCACTAGTGAGTAAACACCCAGCTGAAGGAAGCAGAGAGCTCCTGCAGGACTGAAGGAGAAAGAAATGTATTTCCCAGTTAAGCAGCATTGTTTTATGTGGTTTTCCAGCACCGTGTGACTAAATCCGAGTCTTTGCCAGACTTCTACCTGCAGCACCATGTTGAATCAGGACTCACACACTAGCACACACATACTCTTACCATACATATAATTGTCCAACCTGTACCATTTCCTCCTAAGCACACAGAAAATGCATTTAAAGACAAAAAGGAACCCAAACTTGCCCTTCCCTCACTCTCTCCTTTACTGGCCCACATTTCCTTCTGATCACGTCTCCCAGGCCACTCTGGAGATCCTGGCAGAGCAACTGAGAGAAAAAAGGAGAGCTTTCTCCCCAGAAGTCAGCGAAGACCTACAGGCAGCCTCCACCCTCTTCTCAGGAAACAGCCCAAGCAGGAAGTGGATTCAGGCCTCCTGGCACAGCTGCCAATGACAGCAGGGACTCATCCCACATCTAGGGGCCATTCCCACTCACAGAAAAGTGGTCAGAGAAGCTTCCAGAGCCCAGCATGGGGAGGGCTTTAGCTGCAGTTCAGCAGGTGAGTCAGAAAGAGGAAGGGAAGGGTTAACATGAGGGCCAGGTTGGCGTAAATGTAGGTGAAGTCAGAAGTATTGTTTGCAGTAAAGCGTTGCCCACCTCCCATGCCCAGTTAACAGAATCCTAACTGCAGAGACTGAGAAGAATTGCAAAAGTGAATGTGGAAAAGCAGCGTGCCTCTGGCGACTCCTCATCCAGCACAGGGCTCCTGGGAAGCCTCCTTCCCACATGCTTTTTCCTCCTTGGGGCCAAGCGCCCCCTCCCTGACACCCTCTCCTAGCACAGCCCCTCCCACAGACATCCCCAGTGAGGTAAGGCTGCTCCACAGCAGGTTGGGGAGATATTTTTGGGACCAAGTGGAAACCTTCCCGGAGCCCTGCAGTCAGAGCAGGCAGGCAGCCCTCTCTCCATGGCTGGGTGGGCTGCCTTCCCTGTGGCAAGCCCACCATCCCCTCACACGTATGCAGCGCACACGTGGAAATACGTCCCGACACACGTACTGCGGTCCGGTCCTCTGGCCTCTCACGGTCTCAGAGCCTCCCAGGCCTATGAGGTCCAGTCTCTTCATGTCTTGGCCTGGTGGAAGCAGCCACTGTGGAGCAGAGGCAAATCCTGGAGAGGGTGAGGGTTAGACAGGGGACAAAAGGGACTGGTCAACTTTCCAGGGCCTGAATCCCGCTGGCAGGAGGATTTCCAAGGCTTTTTGCAGGAGGAGGCACAGATGCAGCCCAAGAGGAAGTTCAGGGCGTGTCAGGCTCTGGGTGAGCAGATCCGGAGCCCTCTGGACTCAGGGAGGAGTCAGCTTCGGGGACACACCCGCATATCTTCCCCGGCCACAGTTTGCCTTTGGAGGTCATGACACAGCAGAAGACTTGAGAGCACAGCTCCTTAGGCCTCTGCAGACTGGGAGGATTGGGGGGTGTCAGTTTCAGCAGGCAGAGGGACCCTGCTTCCAAGAAGGCTGGCTGCTAGCCGAGGGGCTTGGGTGCTGGCAGGAGGGGGACATGCAGGCTGCTTCTTGTCCCCAAGGCAACAGCTGGGAGGGGCCCCTAAAGGGTCTGAGCAAAGTCAGTGGGGGGGGGGCCTCAGAGCAGATGTTTTCTTCTCCCAACTGGTTCCCCCCATCTCTCTCACCCCAGGCCCTTTCCTAAAATTTAAGTAAAAACATGAAGAAATTGCTTGCTCTCTGTTCCAACTCCTCGTCCTCTCCCCTGAAGTGGCCTTTTCAACCCTCTGTAACAAGTCCTCAGTGGCCCACCAGGGAGGGATTCCTTGGGCAAACTCTGAGCCTGGCAGACCTATGCCGTCCTTGGGAGAATGAGTGCTTTTCCCCAGCTTGGCAAATACTACACTTTCATACTTACAAATTCCTCATAAGATGAAACTCTTTTAGTAAGAAATCAGTGTCCCAAAGCCCCAGCTTCTACTCTATAAGGAAGTGGGACACTGAGTGGGACTTTGTTTTTAAGCAGGGTAACAAACACACAGCATTCAATTTACCGTTTTAACTATTTTTCAGCATACAGTTCAGTGGTGTTGAGCAGGTCCACACTGGCATGCAGCAGACCGCAGAGCCTTTCACCGGTAACAGTGAAACTCTAGACGCCTTAGACTCCACTCCCCCAGCCCCGCCCCCTGCCCTGCTGACCGCCTTCCTGCTTCCTGTTTCTATGTTTCTAGGGACTTCAGGTACTCATGAGTGGGCACAGACAGTACCTGCCTTTTGTGACTGCCTTATTTTGCTTAGAAGAATGTCCCCAAGGTCCTTGCATGAACCAGGCCCTTCATCAGGATGCCCCATATGGGATGCCAAGGCTGGAGACGCTAAGCACCTCAGCCACATTGGTTTTCCAAATATCTGAGGTAATCTGAACCTTTCGAGGGGACCCTACAGTAGGGGGAGCAGAGGGGTCTGCTAAGGTATGGGGGTGCATGCTTTAGATATGAAGGCTCTAAAGTAGGCAAAATCATAGGTACTAATTCTCACATGCTGGGCTAGAGGATTCCTTCACCTTGTTATGAACCCAGAGAAAAGCCAAGTTGTGTTGGGATGGCCCAAGAAGGGTTTGGGGGACACACAAAACACACCTTGGTGGAGAAAAGTGACAAAGCCTCTGCCACCTTCCACCCTCTTACCGCCTTAGTAAAGAAGGACCCCACCCTTCCTCAGGCAGTGGGTCAACACACATAAAGCCATAAGACGATAACACAAGAACCTTCATCCAGGTTGGTGCTGTTCTCCCCACTGGGTTACTGCCAGAGCCGGGGGTCCACTTAGGGGCAGAAGTAAGGGCCCAGGAAGAAATCATGTCCCCAAAACAGAGAAGACCACAAACTGAGGAAGAAAAAGCTCACTTCTTCTTAAATGAAATAAAGAATAGGGTCACATGGCTGACTGGACAAGGAACAGCCTGGGACTATAGCACCTTCTGGCTGAGAGGCTGGTGTTCTGTGGGATATGAAGGCATCAATGTGTGGACACTGAGCTGGAGGATTCTAGAGACAGATAGGCAGGAAGTCCGAAGGTTGTGACTGATTCCTGTTTCCCTTGGGTTATTCACGTCAACCCTCCTACAGAAAACAACTAAAATTAAACATGAATATAATATCTCAAAAGCATTTCAGGGGCATTAAGACAATAAGGAATCACCAGGCCAAAGCAAGGATGCCGACAAGTTGGCAAGCACGAGGAAGGACCTTTCCTGGAGGCATTTGACCGTCCTGGAAAATGACTGCCCTTGCTCTGCACTGGGGAGAGGGAAGAGCAGGGCGAAAGTGATACCAGACAAAGTTAAACAGGCAGGAAAGACTTTACTCAAGACTCCTGCAGCAGGGAAGAGAGGCCGGTCTGAACTCAGCTCCACTGTAACGGGAAGTAGAGGGGCCTCTAAGCACTGGAGCAGCTACTAGATAGTCCTGAGGGTGTTAGGGGAGGTGGGTCCCTGGGATGTGTCTGGAGAGGCGACTTATTCCTAAATTTGCTCATGTTTTTCTCTGTGATTAGGCCACTTGTATTTGTTAATTGGTGCAAATCAGGTTCCTACCCTCCATCACAGACAAGAAGGTGGGTCCTTGAGAAAGATGATACCAGGTTGTAAAACTGCCAAGAAGCATTTTAAAAGATTTATATCTCAGGTGGGCAAAGAAAGAATTTATAAGTTTTCTAACATAACTACTCAAAGAAAACAAAGTTCAAGGGCCTATAGTCAGAAAGAAATTTGTCTCACGCGTCATCAGACTAGGGAAACACAAAGTCAGCTTGGTCTGAGTCAAACAGAAGACACACTCCAAAAAAAGCTGAGCTTCCAAAGTGCTGCCCTCTCTTAGGGTGACAGTGACCTCAACGTGGAACAACCACCTAAAATGACAGCTTTGTTTGGGTCCTCTGGGTGGCTCAGGGAACTTCAAGTCTGGAACTTGGTTTAAGGCTGTTCAGGTTAAATACTGACCACAGGGAGTGTTGGAAGCAAATGCAAATCCTCTCTGAGGATTTTTATTTTAATGTTCATTGTGGGCCTCAGATTACACCTATATAAATAATCTCTAAGGGCAATATCCAGCCCACAACCAAGTTAGCCAAGTATGTTAGCATAGCCCTGGGAATCCAACCCCATCAACACCCAGCTAGAAGAGGCTCAGCAGCCATGACTCTTGTAAGGTTCCCCCTCCCCTCTTTGGCCCCAGCATTCTCATCCTACCACCTCCCGCAGTCCCTCAGCCTTGGATTTTGATCAGACAGGCTGCCAAGAAGCGCTCTGGGGCTGAGCGATGGCTGCTCTGTGCCCTCGTGGGATCCGGGGAATAAACAAAGGAGAAGTGATAGATCCCAGGACTAGGAAGAGCCCAACCTCTAAATCCCAAAGGGTGTCTTCCCTCCTGAGGGAGAACCCAGAAAATAGGCAGGAGCGGAGGCAAAATTCAGGGAGCGAACAGAAGCAGGTGCAGCCATCCCCCAGGACTAGTCTGGACAGAGTGGGGCCACTCTCCAGGGAATAGCCCCATCCTCTGCTTGTGTCCCACTTGTCCCAGACATTCTCTCTTTTCTTCCTTCCCTCCTCCTGCAGGTATTTCCCACTATATCCTACCACATTACACATCAACCCCACCCATGCCCAAACCCCAGTTCCTGCAAATACCCACAGATCATCTTGTTGGGAACCAAAGCAAAAACCAGACTCCCTGCCCAGAGGTCAGGGAGCTTAGTCAAGACAGCATTCTCCAGTTTCACTTTCTGTCACTCTTGTGAAGATGATAGAGATTGGATGGAGGTTCAGGGACAGAGTCTGGCCACCTATTCACCCTGTGATTTCATTTGCTTGCTTGATAACAACATACTTCAGTGGGCAAAATGCTGCAGCCTTCCTCTGCCCCCTAGCCTCAGCAACCCTCTCACAACAAATGCCCTCCTCAGGGTGGGGATTCAGCCTGGACAGGGAGGATCCTAGAACTGCTGCCAAAATTAACACCATTAGCCATTCAGGAGGACCCCCACCCCACCCCCAGATTCCTCTGCACTCTGCTCTGGGAATATCCCAACCCAGGAGGATGAAGCTGTCACAGCAGCCAAAAGAGTGATGATGAGTGCCGGAGGTGGAGTGCAGACTCTGGATTGCAGAGAGATGCTTAGAACTCTGAGAGCCAAGCAGGGACCCAGGGCTCACTGCACAAATCCCCAAATCAGGTCTCTAGATCAGCAGGAAAGACTGAAGCCTGCATCAAGCCCCTCCTTTGAGGGTCCCCACAGATATGTCCTCCATCTTTCAACCCCCAAACCCTTTCATTTGGCCCAGGCCTAGGGGAATTCCCCATAACCTCATACCAGAAACGTGTGTGGCATGTCAGGAATTGGGGGGGAAGAAAAACTGAGCCACCCAGCCTGAGCCCCCAAAACACAAGATGCCCACTTTTCAAAGGATGGGCTCTCCCATAGCCTTTCCTTCTGTTGTCTTTTCTCCCTTCTCTGGTTTGGCTAGAGGGTCCTTCCCCACTGTGCACTGCCACCTAAGACGCCACCTGTCAACCAAAACAGGTTCTGTTGGCCTGTGGACAAGAAGAAAGATGTTAGAAACCATCAAGGAAGCAATTCAGCATCACTCACAGCCACCTATACTCCTCTTTGCTTGGGTTGATCCTAATGTGACAGTCATCTGTGTGGCCAGAATGTACATTGCAGATGTGGCATTGTGCCCCAGCCAGGCAGGCTTTTGTGGGCTCTGTGCTCTTTGCCTGGAGACAGTGGGAGAGCAGGAGGAAGAGGTGGCTTGACTTGGTTTCCAACAGCATATGCCACAGGGCGAGGGTGGAGGCAGGAAGAAGGGAAGAGGATTTCCTTCTGTCCAAAAGAGGCTCTGCCTTCCCGCCATCCTGTGTGACTGGCAGAGGGAGAAGCGACAGACAGAGGAGGTCAGTTAGACCCCAGAGGAGAGGCCTGCACTCCACTTCCTCCATGAGAGGATGCTGCAGCAGAAGGAGCTGGGAAAGAAACTATAGGACAGATCAGAAGTACCTCTGTGCCTTAGGCTTTATAGAAAAGCAGTGTGAAGTTGAATGAGAAAGGTAAGAATGTATGATAGAGGGCACCTGAGACAGTGAAAACTGCAGCAAAAGAAATGTACTCAGAAAAGAAGTAATGAAGACAAATTGCTCCAT